ATACCATAAGGTAAAGTTGCCTAAAACGTAACTCTTGACTAAGCACTTTTCTTAAACTTTTTTTGCCTAAAAGCAAAGTAAAAAAAAGCCAAAATCTTCATACTGAATTAAAAACAAAAATTATATAAATTCATAAGTAAGAAAAACGGATTTCTAATATTATAGTTCCCTTTTTTTTTTTTTTTTTTGAAGCTTATCTTTTAATTTTTTTATTTTCTTTTGCACGTGAAATCTGTCTCATCTTTGTGAATTCATCGGTAACATTTCGCGAAGTGAATCTATTGTTCATCGCAACTGGGACAAATTATATCTTCCAAACGGTTAAAAATAAAAAAAATATTATAATACTATAAAAATTATATGGTATCTAATGAAGTATAATTTGGAAATAATTTCATTTTTTTTTTGCACCTTCTTTTTTTATATAAAAATTTATAGTTTCGATGCAGTTTTTAAATTTTTACGAAAAAATATTAACATTTTTATACTCTAAACCTAACAGTTCAGAAGTTATTACAATCAAAAATTTGCTAAATTAATTCAGTTATGCTATAACAGATGCTGGAACGGTCCTCGAGAATCGTTAAGTATTTAGAACAATATCTTCATTATTTTCATCACTTTGTGTTTATTTTTAATGGATTTTTTAATCGTTACTATTCTCTTGTTCTTCATTACCTTATTTTAGCTTTTTCATTTAAGCTATCTTTTAATTTGCCTTTATAAGATGACGAAGTTATTATAGCAGTACTACCAGAATGCCTATGTTTCTTAATGGAAATTTTTGGTAGTTGGTTTTGATTTTTTAGCTTAACGCAAGTTTTCTACCAAGAGGCTTTGATAGCAATTCTTCAGGAGAAAAATCGATTTTCTTTTACGTTCTAAAATTGTCAATACCATCTAATACTTATTTTATTTTTTCGATTTTTTGGCGAAACTGCCTAAAAAAATGAACATAATTGGATATCTGTAAGACCTGTCTCATAAAAGTCTCCAACGATCTCATAACAACATATTCAATAAGTCTTCATTATTTTACAACATATAACTAGTGCCTTTTGCGATGCAATTTATTAACATCTGTTTCCTCGAGACGTTCTACATAGTTTCTAACGTGCAGACGAAACAACTGATAAACATTTAGTTATGAGCAAAAAGTATACTTTATTTATAAGAAGCAGTACCTATTTATTTGGCAGAAAACTGAGAAAGGTATCTATCTATGTTTTACGTGTAATAAATAATGAGGCATCCAGATATTTTATTTCTAATGTAGCTACAACAATTATTATATATCTGTAATGCTTAATAATTTGATTAATCGATTATTTTTATATGTTAAATATGACAAAGACCAATCTAGACATTATCTAGTAAGTATTTATGTTTAAATACAGCGATTCTCAAGTTTTATTATTTTATCTAGTGATATAATTATAATATCATATTGATTAGAAGAATCGGGCACGATGTCTAACGTTTGTAATAATTCAGGAATATTCGAAATGAAATAAAAATATTATTCAAATTTCGTCTAAATAAATTATTCTAGTTACATGTTACGTCGTGAAACAAATTTATATCTGGTTAATACAGTCTTAGTACTTTACGTGGGTATATTCTTTATTTTATTACTTTTATGATATTTTTTTCCTGATATACTAAAAGGATATTGCAATTTTCCAATAAAAAAAAAAAAGTATAAAATTTCCTACCACTTTTTTTCTAGTATCACTTTTTCATCTTTAATATTATGAAGTACGATAATATTTTATACCTTCTTATATTTGATCCAAGTTCGTAAATGTTAGAAACACATAGTATTAAATTCATATCCTCCAATCCGAGGGATGAAAAAAATGTCAAAGACGGACTAGAAAGTTTATCGCAGAAAGAATTTATCTATATTTGTTTGCTATATTTACATTCAACATCGATAAAAGATTATACATGGAACGTCGATAAAACATTCATCTTCCGTTTCGTGAATTACATTTCTATCACAACGTAAGTTACATTTATTTGTTCAAACGTTTCACACATTGTTCCAACTTTCTTATTTCATTTTCTCAACTTCTGTTTCATTTCCGGCTGCCTTCTTAAACATACAATATAATATTAAATATGATTCCTCTGCGTCATAGTTGGGTATTTCAAAAAAAGCGCGGGAAAATATTTCAAGTTGCCTGGATGTACTTCAGGGGAATCCTTGCGGAGTCCCGAAAAAAGGAGGCGCGACTAAAGGGGGTGTGTGAACAGAGCGGAGGGCGTGGCAATGGGCGTGGCCGCCGGAACGTCCACTACCCTTCTAGGCGTTTCGTCAGCTAGCTGTAAAGAACGGTAGTGGGGGAGAAGGCATCGAACGCCACTAGCCGCAGTTACTATTCAACCGCTCGATGGTGAGTATGTTACGATGTTTCGCGTTACGGGTGGATCTCTTTTTACCGGAAACGAAGAAGATCACTTGTCCGTCGACTAAATCTTGACACATACGTGATATTTCGATACGGATTATACGTCGTTCCACGTATACGTGGAATATTGTCCCAGTGAAAATTTTCCCAGTGCAGTGCGGGTCTAACGAACCGCGAACGTGTCAACAGAACTTCCCGTTTAATGAAATGCAAGTGTGTTGAACGTTTGGGAGAAGCGATTCGTACGTCGATCGCGTATCAAGTGGAATGAATGGTTACGCGTGCTTGAAAAATTCTCGAGCTACCAATCGAACGGAGGAGTGTCGCTGGGTTTGTTAAGTTGCACAGCTTTAAGC